GGCCGTGCCCCACCGCCTCTCCCCTCTGCTCCTGCCCCCCAGAGCTGCTGGAGGATCTGTCCGAGAGCCGGGAGTGCGTCAACTGCGGCTCCATCCAGACCCCGCTGTGGAGGAGGGACGGCACCGGCAACTACCTGTGCAACGCCTGCGGGCTCTACACCAAAATGAACGGCCTCAGCCGGCCCCTCATCAAGCCCCAGAAGAGAGTGGTGAGTGGGGAGGAGGGGGGCGAGAGGAGCTGAGCCCCGAGGGACCCCCAGTCAGCGCTAGCCAGGGGGCTAGCGGGGGCAAGGAGGAGAGAGCGCAACCAGAGCCTGTCAGCCCGGTGATCCCCCCGGCTGCAAATCCCAAGTGGGGCTCCTGACCAGGTTCGCAGGCCAAAGTGGTCATGGTGAGGGGCGACAGGGCTGGTAGCCCTCTGGGCACTGCTTTGGGCCCGCTTCGGGTCCCTGTGCTGGCAAAATCGCCTTCTGCCCCCAGTGAGCCACGCACCGGGCACGGGCCAGCCTGGCTTTTTGAGTTGATGGACCCTGTGAGTGAGGGGGCATCTGTGGCTTGGAAGAAATCTGTGCTGCTGATGTTGGATGTTTCCAACAGGGAAAAAAAAATCAAGGTTGGAAAGTGTTTGTTCAGAGGGCTAGGAATTTCTCCAGACCTGCTTTGTTTGCCGAGAGCTCGATCCTTGGGAATGTAAGCAAGTTTTGTATATAATTCAAAGAAAACCAATTGTTTGAACAATGGTAATAGCCTTTGTTTTGTTTTACTCCTAAGAAATGAGCAGCAATTTTTCTAAAAATATACTCCTAAAACTAGGGGGGGAAATAAATAGTACAAACCAGAACCTCTGTTTATAACTCAGGCTGGCACTGAATAGGCAAGGAGAAAATTTAACAAGCGGGAACTGCACATTATGTTTAGCAAATCTGGGTGGAGGTCGGCAGAGAGAAAGAATACGCTCTTCAGTAATGGCTGTTACCGAGCGAGCCACAATAAATCATGCTGGTATAATCCAAGCTGATGTTTGGACCCTTGTGTATGGAGACAGTGTATCAAACCCATCAGCCTTTCAAGCCCCTTTCAATCACGCCAGCTGCTTCGCTCCATGCCTCTTTTCCTGGTGTTAAAACACATCCCGGTATTTATTTCACAACCGCTTGAATTTAGTGCCCTTATGGGAACAGGGGGGAACGAAACCTGAATGTGTGATGATCAGAGCAGACAGTGAGCTCTCAAGAACCAACTCCACTTCTGCTTGAAGACCTTTCTTTAAAAAAAATTAATGTAACTTTAAGCCAGAGCTTAATTACTGCTGGGTACTCATTTTTTCTAGCTGGCTGTCCGCTAAATTTCATGACACAAGGTGTTACCTCATTACCGAGGACAAATGCAGCGGACAGGCCAGATCTGCTGCTTGTCTGAAGTCTCAGAGCACGACTGACCGTGGCACCCCAGCCCAAAGCAGATTTCAAGTAGCTAATACCCAGCTCTGGCATTTCTGTGTTTCTTTTTTTTTTTTTTTTTTTTTTTTGAAGGGGTGGGGGGTGTGTAGAGGAGACTAAACCAGAGTCAAACTGCAGCCCGATTTCAGCCTGACACCTCGGCAAAATAACTCTGAAATAGCTCTGTGTAACAATCCCTACCGAGTACCCTGGCCATAACTATAAATCAACCATGACTGTGTGTTCATACAGTTGGAAATATGTAGGTGAGAAGGGAAAATGTTTTGAAAATGCTAAACATGTTTAGATTGCCCTGAAGTTTCTGATAAAATTCCTGCAGCAGAAAAGTCATTTTAGCTTCAAAACATGCCAAAACCCCTGTTTGTTTAGATACGGGAATGAGCAAAAGCTATTGAAATAAAATATATGAAGATTTATACCAGACATAAATTTCTGCGTACAAAAGAAAGAAACAGAGTGAAACATCTGACAGCATTTCACTTGCAAAGAAAGAAAATGAAGCATGTGGTTTTTTACCCCATCCATGTAAAACTCATATTGAATCAAGGGGTGCAATTCGGGCACTGTGTGCATACGTATTTAATAAAGAGGTCAAAAATTCTGTTTTCATGAGACCTGGATTTTTACGATCAAAAAGTATATGAGTGTTCTTCAGCCTATATTACGCTTGGCTGTTTGGTGGTGTTTTTTTTTTTTTTTTGCTGTGCAATTAATAATGGATTACTGATTCAAAGTTACAAAATTCATATTTAATCTGGAGTTCTTTCTGAGCTGTGGTGTAAGATGACAGCTAACTGCTAAAGAAACTCAAACAGATAAAATTCAAGAAACTCAGTTATTACTCTGGAATATTCCTCATTCTGAAAACATTTTTATCAGTTTCCCAAGTGGCAGGCAGCTCTGCGGTATCAAAGGTGACCGAGTTACGTCTAACAACCCGGCAGTAAATGATTCAAGAGGAAGGGCATTGTACCCTTAAGTTAGTAATTTCAGTTATGGGCGCTTTACAGTCAGAATAAGATTAATGCAATGCTCTAAAACTGACTTCTCCATGTAAACTTGTTCAGCTGCCAGACACAGAGCTAGGCACAGATTTTTTTATATTTTTTTTGACAATGCGATACTTTGAAAAAGACTGGATTTATGATGTAGCTGGAATTCTTTGCTTGTGATGAACGTAAAAGAGATCACTTGTTACAGGGACTTTTATAACCCATTCACCGTCATTTCACATGTTTATGAGGACTGCCTTCACTTATGATATACAGCTTGCAGCCATAAAGCTCCGGGTTATATGGCTATTTCTGATACAAGGTTGCTTCATCTTGGCTCCAAACTCCACGGAAGAGTGTCATAAATGGCTTGTTTGCAGTGGGGACCTTGTTGTCACCCACCAGCTTTTGTGCTGGCCGAGGGGAAGCTCTGCTCTGTAAAAGACTCTCCCGAGTCATGTTGGTTTTTGTGTGAGTTAAAATGGGCGATGATAAAAAGAGCTTTTTACAAAGATGCCGCTGTTGCATGTGCAGCTCCTGGGACGCCTGGGAAAGTTTTCCCCAGCCGTGGTGCCACCAAGGGCAGGTGATTAAAGCGGCTGATATTTCTGTGGACTTGGGCATATCGGTGGGAGGTTCAGAGCTGCCTCTTTGCCCACCGCAGAGGGGAGAGGGTGTTGGACTGGCTGGAGAGGTGGCACAGGAGTGATGTGCTGCCTTCTCAGCTGGACGGAGCTGCAGTGGAGATGTTTCCTAGCTGTCCTGCTGGAGGAAGAGCCAGTGCCCAGTGGTCTAAACAGAGGTCCCTGGGTCAGCACCTCCCAAATTTGAATTTTGCCCCTGCTGCTACTGCCCCGAGTTGCAGACTCACAGCACCTCTTCACGTTAGCTTTCCAGCCTCTGAAATGAGGATAATCTTGTTCTAATTCTGGGAAGTCGCTGATGGTTGCTATAAAAAAACCTCCTACCGGCCCCGCTGCATGTTAAAGTACTTTTATAAACCCTAAAGACATAAATCATTTGCTCCTGCCCGCCTGTTTACGCCTGTGTTTGCCTACGCTTGCCTCTAGCCCTCATCCCGGCGGCTGGGCTTGTCCTGTGCCAACTGCCACACCACGACCACCACCCTGTGGCGCCGGAATGCGGAGGGTGAGCCCGTCTGCAATGCCTGCGGCCTCTACATGAAGCTCCATGGGGTAAGTGGCGGGACATTCCCTGCCAGCTTCGGTGCTCCTTTGGGGAAGGGGTGGTCCTCCCACCAGTGGGTGCTCGGTGGCTTCAGGGGGGTGACATTGGGCTTCCTCAAGTTGGGGCGATGTTTCTGGTGGTGCTAACGGTCTCAGCTTATGGTTTGGACCATGGAGTTACAAAATTATGAAAAAAATTGATAAAATGACCAAAAAATATGTGACATTAGAAAATGATTATGCCATTTGAGCAAGTTACGCTTTTGACAAGTTATGTGTTTGCCGTTGTAGCTCTCCTGAGAGATTTCTACAAAGAAACGACCTCTGGTCGAGTAGGTCTTTTTGCCACCGGGATTTAAACTAGCTCTTCATTGGGGAAAAAAAAACCTGGACTTTAAATAAGATATTTTTTCATGGACAGGCATAGCTATGCCAGCAAAACTTTAAATGTGATTTCAGCCTTTTCTAGGCAATAATAGAGGAAGACAATAGCTTTATCCTGAATGTGATAGAGTATGTTTCGGGTGAGACTTGGAGCCTGTTATGACCCTGTGGGTTAAGTTACATCAAGCACAAGTGTTTGAAGAGCAAGGGCATTAGGAGTGATTTGTACTTGATCTAGTCCTCAAGAAAAAAGAAAATTATATTACAGGTTTAAACATTATAATGATAGTAACGTTATGCCTGAATTGTCTTTCCCAAACCTCATGTTATCATTAAGTTAAAATGCATTTTAAGCCAATGTTTTCTGTATAATGATTATCACTGTGATGACACAGAACACAAAGCTGATTTTTGAGAACATTTTCCCTATAAATATATATTTGGATACTATAAAGCTGTATCATGGGCAGAACTGCTTATAAGAACAAACACTAAGTCGATTATGGCCTAAAGCTTCTGTCCTAAGACACTCACTAGTGATGATCTGGTTTGTGTAGCTGCTCCACAGAGAGGAGTATTTTTTCCCCTCATATGCACTCTTGCTTTTCAGAACCAACCACTGGAGACAATTCCTAACTGACTGGACTAAGGAATCAGGGATGAGATATACCCCGTCCAATTTAATTTCATACGACCTGTGGCCAGATGATGCTGTTTTTCGCTAAATGTGTGCTGTTTATCTGGGGACTGACTAAGGTGTTGGAAAAACTAGCTCACATCAAGCAAAAAGATTCCCCGCTTTCTTTATTCGGCTAAAACTCCCTTGAAACAACACATTACTTTGCCCAAATAAAATGGAAAGGTTTTTTTTTTTTTTTGAATTGGTACTGTGACAGGGGAAAAACTGACTTGCTATACAGGCATTTTCAACATCACCATTTGTAGAGATCTTGTAGTGTATTTTGATTTTTGATTTTAGAGTGCATATATATCTCTGTGATTGGTGTGGAAATTTAATTTTTTCAGGTTCCCCGACCTCTTGCTATGAAAAAAGAAGGAATTCAGACCAGGAAGCGAAAACCTAAGAACATAAATAAGTCAAAGGCATGCTCTGGTAAATATAAAAAGATAAGACAGTTGAGCTGCAGGAGGTTTTTTTTTTCCCCTGGCTGGAAAATATTTGTTTTTAATACCAGTTCCCGATCTTTCAGGTAACAGTACTACTGCGGTTCCTATGACTCCAACATCCACGTCTTCTACTAATTCAGATGACTGTAGCAAAACCGCTTCTCCCAGCACACAGACTGCAGCCTCTGGGGTAAGCCGTAGGCCAGTGTCCGTATCTGTTAGCAGGCTGATCACTGTGCAATGTTATCACAGCTTTTATCTTATCTACCAGAACAATAATCTAAACAAACTTTCCAGTTTTGTTAGCTGATACTGGAACAAGATTTTCGGAGGATATTACATATAGCTGTAAACAGAACGACAAGCTGAAGTACTTTACAAACCTCTTAATTAAGATCTATATAATTTTTATGATTAGGTTAACCACAGCTTAACCTCAGACATTTTGTTTTGAAATGTTCAGGTTCTTCCATTTCAAAGGTTTTCTTTTGGAGCAAAGACAATAAATCAGGCCCAACTGATCCTTTCAAGAAACAATTGTGCATGCACCCCTTTTTTTCTGAAATGATCTAATGAAAATTTGTAATTCAAGGGACTGCTGCTCTCATGTTTTCCAAAAGCTGTTTGAGATACATAGATTGTATAGATTGTATAGATTGTATAGATGTATAGATGTATAGATAGATAGATATGCATTTTTATACATTATCCCAAATGACTCGTAAACCCCAGCAAAACTTTTTCTTGCTCTATGAGGGGAAATATAAAGGCTTTTCTTTTAAACTAGGATGTGCACTCCGATCCAGTCCCAGCTGAAACCAGGCTGGAGTGCCCAGCTGATTGCAAGGGCGTAGGGAATCAGCGCTGTCCTCGCAGAGGGCTCTACAGGGGCCAGATGCTCAGCGTGTGGCAGCACCCAGCTCAAGAGGAGCGCTGATCATTCCCTGTTTTAGTTTTGATCCTTATTTTACGTCGTATACTCAAACCGTCTCAAACCTCCTCTCTTCACTCAGTTAGCATGTGTGATAACAAATACTACTGCTAAAGTCGCGAAGCTTAATGCAGATTAATTTCTGACCCCTTGGCTGTATCCACACTCACTCCTCAGGCCTTCTGTGTCCTTTAATCTGCCACATCATTTCTCTGAAAAGCTTTCCTAACGTGGCTTTCTCTACTCCTTTATTAATAAAAAGAAGACATTGTTTATAATAGCTATTATTCAATATGGCTCAGTGTTCCCACATCCAAATTCTTTCCAATAGTTTAATTCCTGACGTACAAAGTTGCATTGTACAAGGGGAGGAAAAAAAGCATTTTTTAGCAAATGCGATCGTTTGTGGACTGACAGGGCCACCCAGTTTCAGAGGCATTGGGTTTTGGGGTTGGATGCTGCCAGACAAGGATATTACTAAAAGGGCTTGTCTTTGACATGAGAAAATCCTGTCAGTCCAATAAAATAAACAGATCACATTAAAAAAAAAAAGAGAAACACTGACGAAAATGTGAGCTGTTACTGGGTTTCAGGCTCCCCCCAGTGAACTACTATGTGCTGGTTTAGGGTCTCCCTTAATATTTGCAAAGGAAAAAATGCAGACAAATTTTCCTTAAATTTTCCTTAAATTTTCCTTAAATTTTCCTTAAATTTTCCTTAAATTTCCCTTAAATTTCCCTTAAATTTCCCTTAAATTTCCCTTACATTGCCTTAAGCAGCACTACCGATCCTGAGGAATGTCCCGAGATGTACATAACGAGCAGAATTAGAAGCGCAGTCCCAGCGGAGGCAGAGCCAGGGCTGAGGGCTGCAGGCAGCGCATCCGTGTGCTGCTGGGGCAAGGAGCAAGGAGAGCCTTTCTAGCTGAAATCCTCTTGCCCCTATGCTGTTGCCTTCTTGGCTGGCTAAAGCCTGCCTTCCTTTCTGTAGCCCTTATAGTTATAATTTTAATAGTACCCTTTGTAATACAGGTTTGCCAGTTGGATTTGTGTGGATACCAGAGGAGAGTGGAGTCGGGGCACATGAACAAAATGAGTCAAAGGCCTAGCTGAGAGCTGTTAGCCACTAAGAGCAACTCCTGGGGACCCTGAAGCTGCTCTTAATTACATGAAGGAAGGCATCCCCCAGTGCCAGGACTTCAGATCTCCCTGTTTTTTCTGTAGCAGATCAGTCTGGGAGAGAACAGGGAACACGAGGGCCAGGGAAATCTGTCCACTTGTACCCAGCAGGCAGCACGGTAACATCTGCACAGCCTTTTCCCCACCATGATCTGATCAGATGTGCCCTGCTTAAGCAAAGCACTTGCAAATCACGTCTTGTGAAAAATTTCAGTGGAAGGAAGTGATGGAGAGAGGCCGTGCTGAAGCGGGGAGGCTGCAGCAGACATGTGGGCATCCCCCCTGACTCCCCCCACTCTACATGAAGGGCTAGTGATCTCACAGCCCTACACCCCAGCCCTATGTGCCTATAAAGGAGGATGGAATTTGCAAGGGAGCAGTTGTCAGGGGATGTCATGGTCACGGCCACATGCTTCCCTTGGGCTCCTAGCTTTGCCCAAGTGTCAGTAATTCAATGGGATGAGGATGGGGAAGACTGGAGGTTGGAAGCAGAAAGTGGTGGCTGTTAAGACTGTTTCCCATTGCCCCAGACGTCATTTGGGAACACGATCACTAGCTGCGAAGGAAGTGAAATCTTTTCGTATAGGCCTAAATCCCAGGGGAGGGGCTGAGATCTCATAAGGGCCATTGAAGTTGTCAGGAGTGAAGGGGTGTCAGCATTTTAGAGTGAGGGAGCCTGCAATCTGATCACACGCTGAAGCAAAGATACTCTACTAGACTTCTAATTTCCTTTAGTTTTATTTTATTTTCCAATTTTAGTTGACGCATCAATAGCCCGAAGGTTTGTATTTATTCTTAGAACAGGCGTGGCTTTGCACAAGGAGAATAAAGTTCCCGGGGCCATGTCAGGAGGTAAAAAACCCTCAGATGGATGAATTCAGGCTCTGTAATCTTTGGCCGCTTTAATGAGAACCGCGTTGATTCCTGCCAGTGGCGCTGGTGACGTTGCCGAAACACGGGCACCTGCTGGAGGAGCGAACCTGGCTCATTCCCTGCGCGTTACACAACCAGCATGGCAACTTGTTTTTGTTTTGCTCTGTTTTTACTTCTCCAGCCTTTATTCTGTGAAGAGGGGAAAAATGCCAAATTGACATTAGGCAGAGAAATCTGATGACGTTTTAGAAACTGTTGTCTGAAATTCACAGCAATGTTGTTGCTAAATGAAACAGAGAAAATGAATTCCTCTACTGGTACAAAAGCAATTTATTATGCCTTTTATGGGAGGCTGCCAAAAGAGTTCCCTGTTATGTAGGAATCTAATGAAAATGAAATTCAGCAGAATTCGTTTGTGTAATATTAACTTTTTTCCCTACCTTTCTTTATCTCTTTTAAAGTAAAATAAAGAAGGGAGGGCAAAAAAAAAGAGAAGGCAGCAATTACTCTTGGAAATGTCTTTGAGACTATCTGTTTCATGAAGGGAATCTTGTATGATGCCAATTTTGAAACAAATTAATGAAGAACCTTACATGTTGATTTTAGCTGAAGTTTAAACATTTAAAAGAAATGATTAATGAATTGCTGTGGGTGCAAAGCTGATTTCAAACATCCCAGAATGTAGAAGTGTTTGGATCAGAGATATTTCGTTGTCCCATCGTAAAGAGGCTATTTGCCAAATTCACATCTGGATCTAGGATTTAGGCCGATTTCTGTTTTCCTAAGCAGTATAAGTACTGGGTGTCCTGTGTTACTAATATGGAAAAGGTCCAGCTGCATGATATATGAAGTTGCCTTACATCCCCATAAAAAGGAGATTTGAACGTTTCAGACAGCCTGCATCTGCATCTATACCTGCTCTCCCTTTGATGCTGCTGAAGCTGTACAGAGAAAAGCTACACAGAATAAGTTGCTAAATGAAGGGCACGGTCTGTAGCGCACACCCATCCATTTCCATGCAGGGGCTCCAACTAGTGTGATTACCAGAAGGACTTTATTCCCTTATTAGGATAAAAGGCAGTATGAAAACTGCTGTAAAATCTGCTTTTTATGGCAGGACATGGAGGCTCCTTGAGCCAGGGCTGATGTCAGTAAAAGCTCAGCAGCAGAAGGGGAGCTCTTCTTTCAGAAGACTCTACTGCGCCCTTTGCCTCCAGTTTGGAGCTTTCTCAGAAGGACCGTAATAACACACCATGGAATAGCTTAGCACAGTCGTCTTGTACGTAAAACTAGTGCTTATTTCCCTTGGAGGTTTACCTTAAGAAGTAGTTCAGGACTGGCTCTTCAGTGTTGTAGGCTGGAAAGTGGGAGAGCTCACTGAAATGGCCTCAGCAGGTGGTGAGCTAGCAGGAAAAGGCAGTTCTAACTGTCCCCAAAATGCCTGACAACCCGGGCTGAACTATCTGAATAGCTTTTCCAGCATTTGCTTTCTTTTGTTTTCAGAAGAGGGTCCGTGAGGTGGTTAGAGTGGTGTTCTTCACTCTTTTTTAGGCAGCAGATTGGTAGACATTCATGCAGGCTATAGAGAAATCAGTCTCCCTACACCATCTCCCAGAGTCCAGATGAAACAGAGACTCAACCTCTTAAAAAACCTATCTCCTAACCTCTTGGATATTGGAAAGTTGAATGGCCGATGGTCCTTCAGACTATCTCATGATAAGATTTCAGTTGGTATAGAATAATTTTCCTAGCTGTTGGGACAGTTTGCATGAGAAAGTCTCACCAGTATGGTTGGTAGGACTTTCACCTGGAAAATGGGAACACGGTGCCTTAGTCCTGGTATGAGTAAATATTTATCTGAACCAGGAGAATAAGATCAACAGAAGGCATGAGGAGCATGGCAACCTAAAACACGAAATAGTCTGGTAGTCAGGTCATTACGCTGGGAGATCTGATAGTCTAGTTTAAATCTTCTCTTGGTCTCCTACCTCTTCTGCATCAGTCCTCACTCCTGGACAAAATAGGATACTGCTTTCTTCTGCCCGTTCAGTTTCATATATTCAGTCATTCATTTTCTTTGCTTCATGTACACATATCTGAAAAAGGGCATTTAATTTTGTATCAAACAGAATGAAGCAATCCAGCTTTTTGGTTTCAGTGGGGAAAACCAAAGAAAAATATCTTTGGTTCTACCCAAAACTTCTATGTGCATATGAACACCTACATTTTGCTTGGGTTTGTTTTATTGCCAAAGCAATAAAGCCAGTTACTCATACAGCCCTCAACAGCAGCGGGGTCATCAGCTTTCCCAAGCCATGCTGGAAGTTGCTTCCCTTAGGAAATTAGTGAAGCATTAACCACCAATTTATGTTACTGTAATATAAAGGAGAGATTAGAAGATAAGTAAACTTATATGTCTGCAATATAAACAAAATGATCAATCTGACTAGCAAGAAATGACAACTTTGCATACTAAGAAGGTGACTAAATCTGAAAAAAAGAGCTGTGGTTTTGCAGTGCTGAGACTTGCTCTTCAGAAACCAGGGAGTGACAGAATTGGGAGAAAGTGCTCTTGGTGGGGATGGCAGTTATTTGCAGGGAGGGTGAGGCTGGAAAATTAAGGACTCCACCATAGTTTGCCATAACACATTATATACGAAAGAAATTTTTGCAAGTGTGTTTCAGCTGACTATGGTTATCATTGAAGTGCAGCGAACCTAAACTAAGCTAACTGAAGAGGAAGAGAGTGTTGGCTGAGACTCAGCTTACTACAGACTTAGTGTAATGTCCAAAATTCATGGAGCATTTTGAACCTGTGAAGTGGATAGAGCAAAGGTCTATCTGATAGAGCAAAGGTCTAGATCAAGGCCTTTTGCCACCCCATCCAGCTGTTAGCACAACTCCTTGCCCAGAGTTTTTGCTCTGTGGAGGTGTGGGGGAAGGTCAGAGGGGTGTCCCTCCCCTCTCCCCACTCCCTGTGGCGGGCAGGCGTTGCAGGAAGAAGTGGGTGGAAGAAAGCAGAAATCCTTCAGCCAGAGATAGATGTACGTGCTGTTCCCCACAGCATGGTTTTGATCTGGGCCAGCTTTAGTGGGGGTGAATTTGGCTCCAGGGTGCTGACAGCAGGTTTGGGTATGATGTAGGTGTCTCAGTCCCTCTGTGGCTCTGGCTGAGGTCTCCCTGTGAGTGTGGCAGGAAGGTCCTCTACAGAAAGTCCACCTCTGATCCAGACAACCTGCCTGGGGGCTGCCCCATGACCAGCTCCTGCTGGTTTGAGTGAGAAGAAGAACCTTTGCAGATACAAACACAACCTTCCTCTGTTTGTCTGGGAGGCAAGCTCTTCCCAAAGGGCTTCATTCATTTTTTCCTCAGGAAGCTGACCTTCAGTTGATTATCTATCCTATTATCAGATTTCAGCAATAAAAATAAATCCATTACCTTTTTATTGATAGAGCCAGCTGTTATGAATTAGGAGAGCTCATTGCATTGTTCAGCTTATTTATTTCCGTTGATAAATGTCCTCAACTAACTGTAACTTCTGTTGTCTTTTATCCCTTAAAGCTGGAGAAGTAAGAGCAGAGGTAGGCAGGCTCAGGAGCAGAGCTGTGATTCAGCTGCGTCCTTTTCATGAGCTAGTTTGTTTTCCATGTCTCACTTCGGGAGCTGCCTGGATTTGTCATGACATTACTGGGGTGGGGTTTCCAGGCCCGGCGGTCCTGCCCAGGTCCTGCCCGCCCTGGCTCAATGGAGCCAGGATCCGGCCTTGGTCGGGCAGGGATGGGCAGTCTTCAAACAGGACGTGCCTCTGCGTCCTCCCTTCTGGGGTGCCCGAGGGAGGGGCAGCTGATAACCCCACATGGAAACTGTGGGTCCCTGAGCCCCACCTTTCAGGGTTGAATCAGGAAAAGAGTGAATTACACTTTCCAAGCCCGGAAAAAATAGGTAGTGATAAGATATTTGCCTACCGGAACAACAGCGGCAAATATGGGCAAACGGGAACCTTTCAAAGCAGCTCCTAGTATTTTTAGCTCAGGTTGAGCAAGCACTGCTCAACTCTAATTTAAACCCTTCTTCCACTGTGGGGAGACTCACAGACTGTTCAAAGTGATGTCTTTTGTGCTAATAGGAGTCTATTTGATGTATTAACAAAAAAAAAAAAAAAAAGCCTTTCTGAAAAACTAGGCTGATGCAAGACCAAAAGCAGACCCCAAAGG